TATGATATAAATCAATAGGCCAAAGTGCAATAATAAATCATAATAGAAACAAGTCACAGTCTTTCCATGTGTCTATTGCCAGCATGGAAGCAATATCAAAGTCCAAATTGGAGTGCAATTCATCAAATTTTCTGAGCCATAAAAAGCCGACATGTAATCCGGATGCCTGTTGCCGCGTTTCGAATGATTCTTATTCAAGCATGGCTGTAATGGGACCCAGTCTCAAGAGCTGGCATACACTAAGCCAGAATGGTCAGTCAAGGAGGATTAAGGACCCTTAATATATATACACACACTTATTAGAGCTTATTTATATATACTGTTGATTTTTCACCTCTATTCAAATATCTTTTATCACAGCTTTTTCATGTCTAATGTGTTGATATAACAGATATAATATAACAAGCATAGTGAACATAGAAGCTCTTCCCTTTTTTCAATTTTGACTTGAATTTTTTTTTGATTCTCAGCTATACAATAAAAAAATACTTTGTTTTTCTTGAAATTCTGAAACTGATTTATTGTTTCTATAAAGTGGTAATTTTGCCATTGTTGTATATTCATGTAGTTTATTCTTCCATTTGTTCAGACCTGGGCATCTTTCTGCCTTTCATTTTGCTGCAAATGTTACTCTTGACGCCATCACCATATACTTTAAATTATTCACTGTATGTTCTTGTAATATTGTTTGGTAAAATATTTAATAACATGCTTTTCGGATCCATCACAAATGTAAGTTTTAATATCTTTTATTAGGGTGTAATGGATCAGCTCAGGAGGTGGCTTTTATTAGGGATAAAGTTTTTCCTACACTGATGTGCTTGTTGCTTTATACAGATTTGTTGGTTTGTAATTTTTTTCACCCCTTTCTACAGTCCCAGCCCAACTGCATTGAATTGCTTTGCTGTTAGATTCAAATATTGTTATATCTTAAGTAAAGGTACAGGTTCCCTTGCTTGAAAGCCAGTCGAATCCGACTCTAGGGTTGTGGTGCTCATCTCCGTTTTAAAGCTGAAGAGCCAGCGCTGTCCGAAGACGTTTCCGTGGTCATGTGGCCGGCATGACTAAACACCAAGGCGCATGGAACACTGTTACCTTCCCACCGAAGTGGTCCCTATTTATCTACTTGCAATTTCTTGCTTTCGAACTGCTAGGTTGGCAGGAGCTGGAACTAGAGACGGGAGCTCACTCCGTCATGCGGCACACTCGGGTCTCGAACTGCTGAACTGCCGACCTTCCACAGCCTGCAGTTCAGCGTCTTAACCACTTGAGCCACTTGCAGCTCCTGTTATATTTTATAAACCACTTAATAATTGATTTTTATCATACTTATAATCTGGCTTGAATCCTATAAATGAAAATAGTAATAATTTCTCATGTTTCACACAGGTGAGAAGCCGTGTCAGTGTTTGGAATGTGGGAAGAGCTTCAGTTGGAGTCGCAATCTTCATTTGCATCAAAGCATTCACACAGGAGAGAAGCCATATAAATGCCAGCAGTGTGAAAAGAGCTTTTCTCAGAAGGGCCAACTAACAGTACATCAGAGGATTCACACTGGGGAGAAACCATATAAGTGTTTGGAGTGTGGAAAGAGCTTCAGTCGGAGTGACAATCTCACTTTACATCAAGCAGCTCATACAGGGGAGAAGCCATTTAAATGCTCTGATTGCAACAAGAGGTTTCCTATTAAATCAAGTCTTATTACACATATGAGGATTCATACAGGGGAGAAGCCATTTAAATGCTCTGATTGCAACAAGGCATTTTCTGTTAAATCAAGCCTTACTATACATATGAGGATCCATACAGGACAAAAGCCATATAAATGCTTGGAATGTGGGAAGAGCTTCAGTCAGAGTACTGGTCTTACTTCACATCAAAGAATTCACACAGGAGACAAGCCTTATAAATGCTCAAATTGTAACAAGAGTTTTACTCTCAAAACAAGCCTCACTAAACATGAGAGGAGTCATACAGGGAAGAAGCCATATAAATGCTTGGAGTGTGGAAAAAGCTTCTCTCGGAATGACTGCCTCACTCAACATCAGAAGATTCACTCAGGGGAGAAGCCATATCAATGCTTGGAGTGTGGAAAAAGCTTCTCTTGGAATTACTGCCTCACTGTACATCAAAAGATTCACACAGGGGAGAAGCCTTATAAATGTCTGGAGTGTGGGAAGAGCTTCTCTTGGAATGTCTGCCTTACTCAGCATCAAAGGATTCACACAGGGGAGAAGCCATATAAATGCTTGGAGTGTGGGAAGAGCTTTTCTCGGAATCACCTACTAACAGTACATCATAGGACTCACACAGGGGAAAAGCCATATAAATGCCTGGAGTGCGGAAAGAGCTTCCATAATAATAGCTGTCTAACTGCACATCACAGGATTCACACAGGTGAAAAACCACATAGATGCTTGGAATGTGGAAAGAGTTTCTCGCAGAATGGTGACCTAATTAAACATCAAAGGATTCACACAGGAGAGAAGCCATATAGTTGCTTGGAATGTGGGAAGAACTTCTCTCACAATGGTGACCTAATTAAACATCAAAGGATTCACACAGGGGAAAAGCCATATAAATGCTTGGAGTGTGGAAAGAGCTTCTCTAACAATAGCTGTCTGACTGCACATCATAGGACTCACACGGGCGAGAAACCATATAGATGCAAGGAATGTGGGAAGAGCTTCTCTCAGAATGGTGACCTAGTTAAACATGAAAGGATTCACACAGGGGAGAAGCCATATAAGTGCTTAGTGTGTGGAAAAAACTTCTCTCACAGTCGTAGCCTTTCTGCACACCAGTGCATTCCCCCAGGGGGAAGAGAAGTTTTGTTGAAGAAACGTTAGCCTGCACTACAAGATTCACGCAGAGGAATAGTTGTCCAGTTATCACATAGGAAACCACTGAAGGTGGCTGACCTTGCTTGTTTGTGACCGTCACTTTTTTTGGTTGCTGTCCTTTACAAGGCCCATGTCTTTGCCCATGTCCCTTAGTTCAATCCATCCACACTCCTTCCTTTTCCTCAGCCTTTGGGGGATTCCCACCACCACCACCAGCAGGGTGATGCTCACCTGACCTTTCTCTCCTGATGTTATTGTTGCCTTCCTTTCTTCTCTCTCTGGAATTTCTGCTCTTGTCATATAGAAGGCAGTTACCCTGCCTGATATCTTCCTCTCTCCATCCCTTCATTTCCTTGCCTTCACTGAAACCTGGTGTTTTTCCGTGTGAAGAAATGACCTGCACCCCAGATGGCCATCAAAGTTATGATACCCATGCTCAGAGGTTACTAAGTGCCTCCTCCCCAACAGGAATTGAAAGGAATACAGGGAGGGAATTACTCATCTTGAGCAGAGGAGCTATCCAGCTCTTTAGATACGCTGATAACCTAGTCTAAGGCCCTGTCCACACAAGGGGTTTTGGGCCGGGAGTGGGCCGGATCAGGGGCGCAGCAAACGGGCGTGATCCTACTGCAACATCTGGGAAGTGTTGCGGGCCCGTTCCCGATCCAGCCCTTCCCCTGACAGCCCCGCACCAAATATGAACCACCTACCTAGGTGGTTCATCCGGTAGGTTCGCATCACGGCTGGCCGTGGGATCGCCGGCGCATCTTGCCGCCGGTGCATCCCCGGCTGAACTGCGCATGCTCACACATGCGCAGTTCGGCAGCCTCCCCCTCCCACTCGTCTCTTCCTCCCCGGCATCTGATCGTGCCGAGGAGCAATGGCGCGTGTGGCAGGGACCTAAGAAAGAAAAAAGGGATAACTGTAGTCACATTTCAGCTACAGAAGCTTGAAGAAGTGACCCTTAACCTGGAGCACAGGAAAGGCAGGAGATTTACAGTTAGGACAGTGAAAGAATAGCAGGGATAAAAGACTCCTGACCACCGCAAGGGGGGTTCATATTCATTTCTTCTTACCCAAGAGCTACCTCAGAACTTAGTTGTTTTTTCGATGGCAGCAATAAAGCCAAACTATAGATGAGAGCCCTATGAACCATTCCTGAGTGCTTGTAACTCCAGGGGGGGGGGCTTTTCCTTATGGTAACAACATAGGGATGTGTAAAGAACAGTGGCAGAGAATTTGGGTGTTATTGTGGCGGAATGGGCCTGCTCTGACCTGCAGGCCCAATTCCAACCTGCCTGCTAGGGTTTTCCCAACACCTGGAGAGGCTTTTCTCTCTTTCTGTCCAGTAACTGCTACTACCACCTCATCTTTGTAGGAACTGCCCACTGGGAGGGTCAGGACTCTCAGCTTCCCTTCCAAGTTCTGAGGCCTTGCCTCTGTCTCCCGCTGCTCAGCCCCTGGGCACCACGGGGACAGTTTACTGTCTGGTGCACCGCTGAAGGAACAGCCGCTTGCCAACTGCCTTCCTTCCCCTGGTACTCGATTTAAATTGTGTGTCTAAGTCAGTGGAGGTCTGTGTGGTACAGAGAACCACTGCCATCATCAAAGGTTATAAAGTATTAAAGAGAAAATGTTCACATGCATACTTTTAGCATAGCACCAGATTGAGCAAGGGATCCAAAAGAGATGGGTAAAACGCAAATCCTCTATCCCTCTCTCTCTACACTTGCCCTATCAGATGTTAAAATATAGGACAGGCTGTTTAGCTAAGGAATTCTAGCTCTCTACAGAGTTCCATTACCTTGAAGATCTCTTCAGGTGAGCACATGTTCAGTGGCTGCCTTCCCAGAGGAAAGGTCTGTGTACTGTATGTTGTCAAAGGTCTGTGTACTCTCATGCATTCAGCACCCAAAGCAGGGTGTCCTTCCTGCTGTATGGAGATTTTATCATATCTGTTTCACCTCCCACTGACCCTGTCGCACCAGGTCAAAGAGGCTTTTCCTGGAGATCTCCAGGAATCTCTTTCCTGAAGACTCTAGTATTCTATTCCTCCAAATCTCTGTTCCCTGCTTGGGGAAGGGGGAGAGCTTGACCCCCACCCATTATCTCTCTAGCTAGATCTATTACCATTTATATGAAGGTGGGCTGAGGTATGTCTGGAAAGCCATTTAATTGATTTCCTCCCACTGCTGCCTGTTCTCTGCCTGGAGAAAAAAAAAACGCCAAGCGGAGGTTTTGCTCAGTTCAAACCTCCCAGAAAAAAATGCATTTCTTCACAGTTACACTGGATCTTCCACTACCACTGGAGAAGCCACTTAACGTAGGTGCAAAAAAACCACTTTCCTTCAACTTCATCAAGTCTGGAAGATGGCACCCTGCCTTGACACAACCGATATGGCCACCTGGATCCATGTTGTGGGAACATCAAGACTAGACCTGTAATGGACTGCTCTTGAAATCAACCTGGAGACTCCAGTTTGTTCAGAATGTTGCAGCCTAATTATTATCAGGAGCTAGGTGGAACATTCATATTAAATTTTGTCATCACTTCACTGGTGGCCCATGAGCTACCAGGTTCAGTTCAAGATACTGTCACATACAAAGCCCTGCGTGGTTTTGGACCCTCATATCTAAAGGCTGTCCTCTTTTCCTATGCTTCACTACAACAATTTTGCTCATTTATGCAGGCATTCTGCAGGAGCCGCCTTGCAAATGGGCAAGATCAACAACGTTTTATGTTGCGTTCTGTACTATTTGACCTCCGAAGAAGGCTTTTGTGGGCCAAAACGCATCAGGTCATATATGGCTCTTTTTCTGCATTTGTGACTTTGATTATATTATGAGGCTTTATTTGGGCCCCTACAAGGTTTTTATATGTTTTTGAAATAAGCATAAACACATTGAAATAAAGTTGATTTTAACTTTTGGCCCTTTACTAGAGTTCTAAACTTCCTTTGGAGGGTCAAGATCAATAATGGCCTGTACACAGGAGTTCTCTGTAGTGGGCCTCTGCCTTGTGGAATGGCCTGCCTGAAGAGGTCAGTTAGACTCCCACGCTTCTGCCATTCTGCAATTTATGTAAAACAGTTATTCAGGGGACATTCCTATAAAGGTAATGGGATAATATAACAGAATGGTTCAGAAATGCGCTTAATTTTCTGTTTGCTGCATGTATAATCCTGTTGTCACTATATTATTTTCTACTGGTGTAACACCATTTTTCTGTATCATATCTGCATGCTGTATCGTGTCGAATGTTCTCCGCTTGTTCAGATTTCTGAAATCTGAACCAGTTTGGTGTGGTGGTTAAGTGCGCGGACTCTAATATGAGAGAACCGGGTTTGATTCACCACTCCTCCACTTGCACCTGGCTGGATGACCTTGGGCAAGCCGTAGTTCTGATGTGCTGTTCTTGAAAAAAGAGCAGTTTCTGTCAAGAGCTCTCTCAGCCCCACCTACCTCACAGGGTGCCTGTTGTGGGGAGGGGAAGGGAAAGGAGTTTGTAAGCTGCTCTGAGACACCTTTGGGTAGTGAAGGGCAGGGTATAAATCCAATCTCCTCCTCTTCTTCTTCTAGTCCTAGTACATTGCTTATTAGACGTCATGTTGACTGTAGTGTATAGAGTTACATTATGTTATCTGCCAAGAGTTTCAGTGAGAAAACTGGACTATAAATATAGTAAATAAAAGAAATATTACTTTTCATTTGATCTTGCTCAGATCTGCTGTGTAAACAGGCCTGGTGGTGGAAAGTGCCGTCAAGTTGCAGCCAATTATGTGGTGACCCTGTAGGATTTTCAGGGCAAGAGATGTTCAGAGGTGGTTTGCCATGGCCTGCTTGCTTCTACATAGCAACCCTGGACTTCCCTGGTGATCTCCCATCTGAATACTAACCAGGGCCGACCCTGCTTGAGATCTGATGCGATTGGGGTAGCCTGGGCCACATCAGGGCATAAATAGGCATACGTGTGCTCATATTAATTCAATTCCTTTATCATTTGGATGGCCAGTTTGGACAGATTTACCCAAGAGAAGCCAGGGCAAGTCTGAAGTTGGTGCCACCATTCACCGAGTGCTTCTGTTCAACAGAATTTTGGGCTGTATCAACAGAAGTATAGCTAGTACATTACTTATTAGACGTCATGTTGACTGTATGGAGTTACATTATGTTATCTGCTATGAGTTTCAGTGAGAAAACTGGACTATAAATATAGTAAATAAAAGAAATATTACTTTTCATTTGATCTTGCTCAGATCTGCTGTGTAAACAGGCCTGGTGGTGGAAAGTGCCGTCAAGTTGCAGCCAATTATGTGGTGACCCTGTAGGATTTTCAGGGCAAGAGATGTTCAGAGGTGGTTTGCCATGGCCTGCTTGCTTCTACATAGCAACCCTGGACTTCCCTGGTGATCTCCCATCTGAATACTAACCAGAGCCAACCCTGCTTGAGATCTGATGCGATCGGGGTAGCCTGGGCCACATCAGGGCATAAATAGGCATACGTGTGCTCATATTAATTCAATTCCTTTATCATTTGGATGCCCAGTTTGGACAGATTTACCCAAGAGAAGCCAGGGCAAGTCTGAAGTTGGTGCCACCATTCACCGAGTGCTTCTGTTCAGCAGAATTTTGGGCTGTATCAACAGAAGTATAGAGTCCAGATCGTGTGAAGCGATGGCATCGCTATACTCTGCTCTGGTTCTGCCTCACTTAGAGAGCCAACGGGGTTGAAATTAAATCAGAAGAGTTTTCGGCTAAACGTTAGGAAGAACTTCCTGGCAATTAGAGTGGTCCCTCAGTGGAACAAGCTTCTTTATCATGTGTCTGGGTAAAATTAATAGCAGTTGCCTCTTAGGGTTGCCAGGTCCCCCCTGGCCACCGGTGGGGGTTGGCGGCAGGCCCGTAGCTAACGCGGGGCCCGCCCCCCTAGCAGTTTTTATG